ATTTCCACAACAATTTCGAGAAACTTTTCGTACTCTATTCAAAGATGATGGTATCGATGGTGTACATTGAAAGAAAGAAACTGGTCTAAATGTTATCAGATTACAATGTAGATAAATTATACTGATGTATTAGGGAACAGTGTGAGAGACAGTAATTTACAACTAAATGCTAATGAAAATCAATAAACCTTAGACGTTCAGCCGTAAGTAAGTGATATTTGAATGAATGTGGTGAGGGAAGTTTAATACTTGCAGAGCTGATACATCTCCAATATTCAGAATGGCTATCCACCACACGGTTACTACCAAGGACAAAATACAACCCATTTCTCATTCTCCAAGCCTTGGATAATCCAAAAAGGTAGAAGGCAAACCTTAAATAAGAGATTCATTTGATCCAGAAAAGGAGATTTATATAGACGTACGGCTGTCTTATATTAATATATTTAATGTGTCTTTTTGAATCAATGTAATCAACAAAAGACAACATTAAAACCAATAAAAATGAAACATATAGTTTAATTTCAATGGTTAAGATCATGAGTCAGTTGAAGTTAGACCACCATGGAAAACCTGGAAGCACTGGACGGCCATTTCGTTTCGGCGCTCTAACCGGGTTGGTGGACACGGAGGGTCTACCTGGGGGAGTTGGAAAACTCTCATTCCAAAACAATGGTCCACATGGACCCCACTACCCCGAGGGAACAAATGGCGTATGAACCAATCGTTGGTCACCGGCTACCATGGGATTGCATCTCCTTACGATGCTCCACTGACTTGTGGATCAGACCTTTAGGTTGAAGGCTCCGGATGTGGCCCGCTAAGAAAACCACCTGCTTGGGTTTGGGCACACAGGCAGTATCACAGCCCTCACATGAATCAAATGAGATTTGTGTGGAGCATATGTATCTGGTGCCGCCTTGTACCAATAATTACGTGTTCAAATAAAAATAATAATAAATGGAAGGATGGCATGTATTGAAAAAGTGTAAAATGCCAAAGAAATCAACATTCTCGTCACAAGTACAATAAATGGATAGCTAATAGGTTTCATGTAGTACATGAAAATGCACACTCAGATAAGTTCTAAATACTTATCCCTAAGTAGGTCAGGGAATATGACAATAAAGATACTAAGTATATTATACTTCATGAGTACTTTCGAAGTATTCCTCTTGTATCCAAAGGCTTAGAAAGGAGATAAAAATATCAATGAGCTTGTAAACAATCATCCACCGAGTTGCATATTGACTTTCGACCTCAACGAAGGATGTTGATTAAAGAAGTAGACTGTTAAAAGAATAAATGTGATCAGAAAAAGACATGGAATTAATTCATGATGTCAAAACTCATTGATTTGAGTTGTATACAGAAGTTTAAGCTTCTTTGCTGTGGTCATTAGGACACTACCCAATCTTCACTATTATCAAGTATTTGTTGACTCATAATCAACTAGAAAGAGATCAGGGTAATCGATTAAAAATAAATATATACAACTGAAAATAAAAACAACTTACCTGTAATGAAAATGAAGAAGACCTTTCATTTTGTTTACAAGTTGATTGCATTTCATGAATTAATTCTGACCATTTAACCAACATATTTCTATACACCGGTAGTTGTATATTATTCTGTTCTTTACATTGTCTTCTTCGCTCGGTAAATATTGGTTCATAATAACTTAACCATGAATTAAAAATTGATTCAAAATTAACAACAGATTTTATAATTTCATAATTTGAGATTTGGTTTTGTTGTGGGATAGACAAATAACCGAGAGGAGCAGGAGGAGGATAGTGAGTAGGTGGGAAACGTCCAGCATTCGGCCAACAGGATGATAATATTGGCTGCAAGGGAAGCGACGACTGATGATTTAGAACCGGTGCAACTATTTGCTCACCAATTGATGTTGATACTGTTGGTCTATATACAGGCATTACTTGTAATGCTTGAGTATTCCATGCAGAATGTTTATGTTCAGGTATCGATGACAGTGATCTACCTCCTCGAAATAGTAATGAAGGAAGCATGGGCGGCATAGACCTCATTGGTAGTGGTCTATTATAATCGGCCATTTTTCTAAAAAGTAATCACTAATAAATGAAAAGCATGAAAATTTATATTACTATGATTGAATTTCCAATATTGCATAATCTAAATCAAATGATGACGTTTCTCATGTCAGTGCGAACTAACCCTAACTGAGTTAATATTAGCCAAGAAACCTAATATTAAAGGTGATGTTACAAAGCATTTGTTTGATTGACATCTATAATACAATTCACAAAAACTTTCAAATCAATCCTTAAAAGTTTATGATCTACGTTCAGTAAAAGTGCTGTATGGTGTAGCTCCAATGTAGTGTTTCTCAGGATTGGAACAAATTATATTGTAGATTATGTTCAGTTTTTCTTTTATTTCATTCATTGGTGAGTATAAGACTGATTGGAGTGATTTGCTGGTTTACGTGCTACACCAATTCTGGACGAATTTAATAATCTCGTAATTTCTGATATCTTTTATATATGATAGAATAATCCATTTGTTGGTTTCTGTATTTGATTTCAGTTTTGCTGAGGATTTGGGTTGATATTCTTTAACGAACATTTGTGGATAGCCGTTCTTTTGAAAGATATTCATTCATCGAAGATGTTGATCAAATTGTAGGTGATTTTCACCTCATCCTTTTTAATGACGAATGAGTCGTCCAAACAACGAATCTGCGAATCACTAGTAAAATCGAGGCTTACAGTCTCTGTATCACTGCTTATATAATAAGTCCCTATATTGGTGATCCAATTGGCTTTACTTTCGTCTATTCGTAGGTTTTATTGTTAAATTGGAAATATACGTTGATTAGTGATAAATATCATTTGTCTATCCCTTAGAGTTGACTAGTATCAGTCGATCAAGTTGCAATGTGGTCAGCCGTTTGAGTGACTCGATTACATGTACACTCCATTTTTGGAGTTAGGGGGGTTGAAAGTAGTCAGGAGGAAATCGATCTAATGGGGGGGAAATCGGTTTACTTAAAATGAAACCAATAAACTGAAAGGTAACCAAATTAGTGTAGGTAACAAGTGCTCTTACACAAAAAAATCTGCTTCATTTAACGACAGGAGTATCACAAAACATGCACGGTAATGAACAATCATCACTCAACAAAAATACGATCAAGGATAAAATGATAAAAATGGAATCAAAAATTCGTAAAACCAAATCATAAAATATGAGATACATCTCGATTTGTACCACAAAAATTCTCTAACCACTGATTTCCTCTAGTGAAACCGTTCTACTTCATTAAATGTAGTTTTTTGAGCGATCATGAAATTAAGTTTGCCTTACAATTTGATTTGGGTAACAATCCACGATTTCGTTAATCTCCCCTTTATTCTAGCTATTACAGTGAATTGAGATCACTCAACGCTAATACTGGATTCGTGTGATTTCTGGGGTCTGAATAACTCATCGATGATGTGTTTAACATTCCAAGAGAATATGTTCATCTAAAATACTGCTGACAAGTAAATAGTTTATGTTGTCTGGACATATTTCTAGATTATTATCAAACATCCAGATCAGATTACATAAACCTACATCAATACATCCTCGTAGTCAGTTTTCATTGAAATTTAATTCAAAAATTGGTTTCTATTTATATACCTACAAATACCCCATTAAAAACAATCTACCGATTTCAAGTAGTATAACATGTTTTGTGATAAGAAAAGTAGAAGAACCGGTATGTGGCTTGTCTATGATTCTGAAAGGATTCTATAAAATGAAAGGCTAGATTATCAAGTATTTGTTGATAAAATTAACTTTTCACTACCGAATTACTACCATTATAGCAAGTTAACAGTTAACATATTTTGCAAAATCAATCAAAAAAAGAACTAATTAAATATCATGCAACGTGAAACACAATAATTACACCAGTTTATTTTTTATTCAAAAATACATTGATTCCATAATGATTGCTTATCCCTTCATAATTCTCAATATGGAATTTCTTTAAAATTTCAGTGAGTGCTTTAAAAGGAATGAAAATTAGTTTCCTTTGTGACTACTTATTACCCAGTAGCAATTTATTTTGCCAAAAGAAATATGAAGTATAAGCGTAATATACGTTTAACAAACCAAACATCTGCCAATCATATGTTTTACAGTGAACCTTTGACAAAACACTTTATCATATCGGTAGAAAGTGTTTCACCTAACAACTGCTTACAAATATAACCCAACTAGAATGCGAAATTCGGCAAAATAATCAAGGCAATCCATTTAGAATCAGTCTTGTACAAGTACAGTTAATTAGTGATCATTTTTAAGCAAACTGCAAAATGCAACTAGAAATAATCTTAAGACTATAATTTAGTTAATTTGAAATGATGAGAACCATAAACCGACTTCTGTTACTGTAACGTAACTTATAATGTTTAATTAAATGTCTTTAACCATCAAGTCCAGGCACAATTTAGTTCCTAAATAGTAGATATACATTAATCCTAATAGATTAATGGATTGGTTTTGATTAGGTTTGATCCGTGTTCGTATTCCTCCACCCTGACCAAATAGTGACTCAGAAATGAGTGATATAACCTCTAATTATCACGATCAATAAGGTCCCTCGCCCTCACAATTGAGAACCTCTACTGACTCATACTGTTCATACAACTGCGCAGTACCGTACTGAATTGACTTATAACTGACGAATACATTCCCCAGCCGTAAGGTACAAGTTTTACAAATATGGTGTATACAGGAGCGTTTTTACGTAATTACACTAATAAAAACTAGAAATAATTAGTTCAGTGTATGCCAACTGCGTCGAGTATATATCAACACCTCCGAAAATTAGAACTGATTTTACTGTATGGATAAATGGGAATATTAGTTTAGTCAGAAATTCAAATTAACATATAAAAATTACAAACCAAGATGAAAACCTAATTCCAACGGAAAACAATTTGTAAATAAACAAAAATACCACAAAATGAACGCGAGAAAAATACAATTTATTTGGTATTAATCAGAAAGTAATATGTACAGATTATACAGAGAAATTTTGTTGTATATAAGGAAGCCTTGGAAAATAAAGTACATGTTCTTATAGTACGAACAATAAATGTAATCAGTAATTGAGTGAATATCTGAATTCGACTGATAATTATCTATAGATGTTATAATTATTTTGAATGTAAATATGGTTATAAACAACTCGGCTATTATTAACCTAGGACAAGTATAAACAAGAAATTAACTTCTGAGCATAGATAAAAAGATGCTGAAATGAAATCACAGAAGTGAACAACAGTAAAGCTACGGTATAAACAGCATAAAGCATCCAAGTAATGATGAAACAGTCTACATAGATAAAGAAAGTGAAGAACACATATAGTGAGCATGTCAAGGAGAAAATAAGCAAATAGATACATTAACACTGAAGAAACAAGTAGGAAAAAAAAATTTTTTGACAATAACAAGAAAAGTAAATACATTATGTGAATAGATACTCTAATGGTCAGTAAGTTATGTGCGAACACGCATACGCAAACATATAGAAAGACCGCTGGTGAAATAAAACAAATAGTAGTACTAGTAAAATACAAGCTTTACTCCCATAAGGCAGCGACATTCCCATGAAATGTGGAAGCGATTGGACCACCTGCTGTGAACAAACGTGTACCTGAAGGGTCATATTCATGCGTATAAACAGCCAGCATTCGACGTTGGTTGAAAAATGTAGGAAAAGATACAAAATCAGAATGAATATTGCCAAAATAATTCATTCCTAAAAAAATAGGTCCTAAATTTGGATCACGGATTTGTAAACGTGGTAAACCAAAAGGCATTACTACATGTGTAGAAGGTGTATCAATTTCATTTGATTCACTTGAACTTGGATTATGACCATCCAGAGAATCCACCGTCGCAGTCTCATTATTTGTGGTTGACTGGAGATCATCGACTGGGAAGTATGATTCTGATAATGAAGAATCATTACCATCCTCTGTAGTAGTATTCTGTTGATATGTATCACTTCGAAGATTAGCGTAAACCGACCTGTCAGACACTGATGCCTCGACAACTGGATAGGTGTTTAAAGCTCCAGCCACTGCCATGCTACGCCGACTACGTAAACTCGACAAACGATGTTGGATTCTGTCTAGACGAACACGTATATTGTTAACAACTTCAGCCCTAAGTTGTGATGAACGAACAGTATTTAGAGACCGTGTCAAAAGAGCTGGATGTGCAGGGGAAGGTGGTGGAGAAGGTGCATTCCAGTTAGAAGAAGTTTGAACCATTGCTTGAGGTTGTGAAACTGGTCTGGGAATAGGGGCAACTGAAGAGGACACAACAGACGGTACCTCGAATTCGTCACATGCTTGTGGTTTCAACCAACCAGGACCAACGTCCAACTGTATTGGTAGATGATGATCACTTCTAAGGTCATAAAAGTGCACTTGACCACTGGAAGTGCCGTAAGATAGAACTGATCCAGCAAAGTTTAGAGATCGGACACCTGATACATCTAAAGGGGGAAGTATACAGCGTGCTGCAGCTCCAACCTTGACTGTAGAACATCGAATATCGAACAAAAGTACACAATGATGAGTTGCAAGTGCTATGCAATTAGGCTCAGATGGCCAACGTCGAAGAGCTACGGCTTCCTAAAATGAGATGTAAAATAGAAGAACCAAAAAATTTCAGTGACTTGAAGTAAGTGGACTGAAATTAACCACTACTGATAGTTTTTACAATTGACATAGGTTTTAGAAAAGCATTACAACCTGAAACAAACGATAAAAATAGCAGTAAGGCGCAATGAGACAGAGCAGTTTCGCATTAGGTTTGTTTAGCTTGTTTTCATTATATTTGATCATCACGTCGTTTGCAAGAGAAAAATAAGATTATTTGGCTGAGACCAACAGTTGAACGAAGAAAAATTATACTTACTTACGCCTGTTACTCCCAATGGAGTATAGGCCGCCGACCAGCATTCTCCAACTTTGAAGAATTTAGTGGTCGTATCAGTTGCTATTGTTTGATTGTTTATATGACTATCATTTATTAACGAATGTCTGTATTACATGCATCTAACTTCTACATGAGATATGAGTCATTCGGAATTATTCACAATGGTGCTGACAGACTTAATATTTATTTTGTGTTAAGTAGACAAAGTAGTCTCAATTATTGACTCACATTGTTTTTTTTATATCTACTTTGATCTTATCATGCTTTTAGTATTCTTTCCTTTCTGTATTCTTTTATTGAATTAAAGTGAATCATAATCACCAAAATGTAAATACAGTAAAACAGTGCGGAATGCTCTAAAACACGTCTGCTGCTCACGGCTGTAAAAGATAGGTAACATAAAACTGCGCACAAGTGAACATTTGTGATTGGAAAGTGCTTTCAAAATAATGTGGTTGAACTGAATCTTGATGGTTCCTAGAAAGTTCCGATTTGTGCCTACTAAATATTAAATACACTTGCCAAAGATAAATAAAATCAAAGATTTTTAAAGCTTATATTGAAGTCTAATAGTTTATTTTTGGTAAGTGTATTTTAGATGTTGGGGGATTTAATCAACAGTCAATATTTTCAAATAAGTGAGTATATCTTAAAACGAACAAACGTGCATACTTTTAATTTTGCAGAAAATGAGTATTTCATTATTATGTTCGTTTAATGAAGCCACACTAGAAACTGAAAACTAGACTAACTTAACAGTTATACTACAAAAGGGGATTAACTGAACACTATTTGTGTTATTTTACCGTTATACTGGCTCATGCGAAGAGTGTTGTTCCAGCATGGCTATCTCTTCTCTTTAACGAAATCGAAAAACGTCGAAGTTACAAAAGCTTGAGCATCAAAGATCATACATTTGAAGAATGTTGGCAATTCATTATTTGCATGGAAGCGCAATAACTCACAAATGACCAGGTGAAACCTATGGAAGCTAGACATTTTACATCTGTACATATATTTACTCCAAGACGACTTGGTAAATTTCACACAATAACTGACTTGATTCGATACGATACGATCAGCGTCAGTGGCTTCCATTTAAAACGTGACTTCAAGTTCTATACACCAAAGGGGTACTTTCTATAACTCACCATTTTTAATAAATTTCACAACCCTCGAATGCAACACGGTCATTTAATGTTCAAGTGAACTGACGTCCAAACATTATTGCTACTTACTATGTACGTTAATAATAAACTTTACGGTAAATTTACAATATAGGCATAAACCAACCTGATAAGCATCTCTCAAAACTAAAGTGTAAATCGGACGTGTCCGTTTATCCAAGCCCATTCGAACAGCGTCATATAAGTAAAGGCGACGCGACATTGATACAACTGCAAGGCTTGTCTGAGTCGGAAGATACTCCAAAGCACGAAAACGATCATCAGGTGTAGATGACATGGCGTACGCGATAGGACGTCGGATATGGAATACAGATGAATCTGATGCGGCGTCAACACTTCGGTATATTCTGTTGTCATTGTTAGGGTATTGTTCAGAAGACGGAATCCGCCATAAAGCTAACGATGAGTCTCGCGAACATGACGCTAAACAAGTATCATCTAGCCACCGTAAGTCAAAAACCCAATCATTGTGGCAATCCTAAAAATTACATTAAGGGAATAAAAGCTAACTCAAACGGCCACAGTCGGTTAGCAAAATTAATATTGATTTTTTGTGTAATAATTGGTTGAAATAATTTATAAAATAACTACATATGTTAAATTTGAAGACAAAATGTTTCAAACCTTTATTTTGAGAAGATACACAGTATATGAGTACTGTTAAGTACAACATAGTAACTATGTAAAAGTTTGAATGTCCAGATATGAATTACGTTTAGTGTAAAGATGAAAGGTGCTAACGGTTAAAATGAAGTACATTGAAAATTATAACTTGATGGATCGGACCAAATTTCTAAACTGGAACTCCACACAAACACAAAAATCCTTCAACTAGAAGCTACTCTTGAAAGCTCGGTAGATAGCTTTAGTGTAGGGTTTACCACCGACTTCTGACTACCGATTCACTAGGTAACCAGTTCCTTATTTTATTTTTAAGGTATAATCAGAAGAGCGTGAAGACTATTTGCCACCTCTAGCTATTTACCATTGCCGAGTTAACTATTGGTTGTTATACCTATAAAGTGTTTGCGAACGTATAGGAATGTACCGACATACTGACTGATTTAGGAGACGCACGTGCAAATGAAACGACGAAAAACACTGTACGGATGTGCACTAGTCCTGTGTAATCTGAACTCTTCTGGCTTGCGAAAACCTCCAAGTTCTTAGTTAGAAAGGTCAGCTTACCCTGGTAGTTTCATAAAATAAACGTATTACGTTCATGGTGAGACCTTTAACACGCAATCGGAAAGTTGGAGGAGAGATAATAGTAGATCCGTTCGAATCCCAACTACCAGGTTGGAACTTTAACTCGTGTTACACCTAATCTCTTCAGCAGCAGGGTATTAATGACCAACCTTCACATATAAAGCGTGTCTCAAGGTTGAGTACAAAAACCTGTTGATCAATAAAGGTAATAGCATTTTAGAAAAATTCAAATGCATAGCGAATGAGACCCCCTCATCTAAACTGATTTTCAGCCACGTAATCTGGTGTTTATCACCACCAGTTTGTTAAGGTGAAGACAGCTTAATAAGTCTGCATCTAGTTTAAAACGACCAGAATTCATCAATGTGAAGTCATATCTAATCATATCACTGTTTGAAAAAAAATCTATCCAAATATAAAATTTATGAAATCTAACCATACCGTACTTCGACTTACGCAAAGTAAGCAGTGAGGAGAAAATTCCGACAATCTATAGACTCCGATATGATTGACATTATCTCCCCCTGTAGCTATAAACGTTTTCGATGTATTGAGTTGAATGGAATGAATACCACAAGCACAAGGATTAAGTTGATTTGCGTACCTAAAATATTAACACACTAAGAATTTAATTTCCATACGGGGTAGCTGATTTTATCAAAGGAATGTCAAAGCTTTCATTTGAGGTGCAGTCATATAGAACTAAATTGTTACATTTTGTACCATAGACAACATGGTTATTGGTAATCCATTGACAGGCGAAGATTTTATTTCTATGGCCAGGATTCAGACTGCGTCTTTGCCACACGAATGGAAATTTAGATGAAGACTCTGGTATCTGACCCGTACCAATGTACTGGCTCGTGCCTAATTCACGAGAACGCAGTAACTTTATGATCGGTTTAAGTTTCTAAAGTAAAGAAGAACTGCTAGTGAATCTAAAAACCTTACCTGTCCATTAAAAGCCTTACGTTTAGTAGGAGGTACCATATAAAATCCTTGAACTTATCACGGGAAAACAAGCAAGTTATGATTAGCGCCCGAATCGAAGAATTAAACGCCTCAAGGTCGTATAGTAAAACTAACTTTAAAGACTGATGTAATAATCTATTTACATTCAGTTTAACCACTAACTTTATGATGAGCTAGTGCAAACTGGTTAAGTTTTCTGCAATTCCCAACTGTTAAAAAATAGGTAAGCTTTTACTGAACTTCACCCATGTTTTTGTGTGTTCATTCGTGTTCTACTTTGAAGTAATCTCAGGTGCAATTTGGTGCTGAAGTATGTAGGATCAGTGAAATGTCACTGAGATCTAGCTAAATCATTCATTAAGCTGAACCACTTCTATGCTGGACGACAGAACATAGAGCGTTAAATATCATCATGTTCAATCATTACCAACGTTCAGTAATTATTCTAACACTATGGACTTGGCCATGAAGCAACGGTTGCATTCTGCTCCCCCAACTTATTCTTATTAACGAATTTCTTTAATAACGTCATCTGTTTCATACGGTTATCAAAGTGGCCATAGTACTCTGAAACCAAGGAAGGATAATCCATGATATATATATTAACCTCGAGATGTGACTTCGATGAAAGTTAAATCAGTTTAATGTAGGTTTTGTAAAGTGGAACATTAACATCTACATTATTTGATCTTCCGTTGTAAAGCAGCCTGAAATGACCATGGTAAAAACCGTCGTTTTACACATCTTTGGCCGGTCAAGATTCATATAAGTAATTTAATGGTATCAGCTCTCTGAATTAGGAGATTTTTAAAGTCAATTTAATTTCATTTGTATATAGACGGTGAATGTGCAAAGTGGAATGACCGTGGATTCCATAATGTGTAATGGTGAGATTGTAGTGACCTACTTTTGTCAACAGATTGCGATTGGTTCGATGAAAACAATTACTATTATAACCGATTGTACCAGTGATTGTTCTGCTGTGCTCGTTTGTTTAACTGTGCTAATGACAGCCATTACACTTACTTACTCTCCCGTTGACTTTGAACTTGTACGAATTCGGTTACACTTAGTAACCACGCTTGTACTCCTTTGGCACGATCTCGGTATTCTTTCGATACCACGAGATCGCCAGCAAACATATCTCGACTACAGTCATCATCTGCCTTCTGATATTGGCCTACGGGGATCTTATTGGTTAATTGGCACGTAGTCTTGTAGCGGTGTTCATGGTTAATCGCGATTCAACCTCTGAAAAACGAAGTAAAATTTGTGTACACTAATTATTACACGTACGTGGAAACTTTACTACCGTTCAGCCACGACTTACAAGGAATATGTTTCGAAAACCTTGTAGATATTCTTCCTTCAGTTCTTTATGTTTATTTGCTTTAATAAGTACATATAAATTCAGAAATGCATATGAGAGTGACCTCATAAGGGGTATTGATCCATCATTGATTGATTTCGGAAATATCCGGTGTTACAAACCGAAAATAATTGAGCTTCAAGTAAGCTTTAATTTAGCGCTGATTTAATCCTTTATTCAATGCTCCTCTGTTAATAGTTGTTAGTTTAGAAATTTTCCGTACTTCATGAAACAACTTATTTGGGTACTCATTTTTTTACAAGACACTCTTCAAAACATTCTATTTCTTCTTGTGTTTTGACAGTTGAGAAAACCTCCTAGCCTATTATGCAGGGATTTGCTAAACAATTTTGTAATTACTAGATCTGAAACTATAATAATTTGAGTGTTTGCCCGTCGATGTTTTTTTCTGAATATACTTTTCACCGTTGTTTCATAATGTCTTTATTGTATTTTTATGTCTATATATTTAAATTGATTATCATGATGTTCCACCGTAAACTTGACGTTAGCGTGTGTTGTTAGTTAAGTCGGTAGAACAACTGAGAGGCATGATTCATATTATCAAAAATAATGAGTGTATCTTAAACACATTTTCTGTACAAATGTACACATTCGATTTCTTGTTCAAGATTAGCTGCAAAGCTGTCGGCGAAAGTAGGCCCCACTGGTGATCTCTTGGTCAGCCCATCAATAAATCTATGTAAGTGATTAATAACACGTTTGTAGGTACCAATACCAGGAACAAATTGAACTCCGTACGAAATACCGACTAATTCAAATTGGCATATCATTTCTAACTCTGCACATCCATTCAGCGTAAACTTTCCCATAGCCCTGAATCGTTTTGAAATAGCAGACGATCTCGAAGAAAAAGAGAACATAAAAAGCACCATATTTACACTTCTATTTGGACAACCATGGCGAGACTCTGATTTATGGACGAGCCAATCATAAGCGTTTGAGAGATTTCTAGGTTACGATTTTAGAACCTCTGAACCTCGTTCAAACCTTGAAAAGCTTACGAACCACTTGTAAGAAGAGTGTACACTTTATTTCTTTGGTTTTGTACAGTATATTTTCACTCTGTACTTACTGTTTGCTGGTTGGCTAATATTTATTAAGTTCACTTAAGATCCGTGAACAGAGGCATCCTCAACAGGAAGCTGGTTATTTATCAACAAATAAACCAAGTTTAGTGGTTTTCCGTTCCTTTTCTACTTCGCGATGCCAACTGTTTCCAGTCAATCCCGAACCTCGAATGGGCTTGTGTTATCAGGACATAGATTGGATTTAAGCATGCTTCATGCACGATTGTTTTGGTGCACGCTGATTGGCTGATTTTTATCCAATCAGCGCTAGTCGATACATGGAGAAGACTCTAGATTCTTCTCATGTAAAAACTATAAATATACTAACGGTTTTCCTTTTGTGCTTCTCGCTTCCATCTAACCTTGTTATTTGAAATACAATCTCTTTCCTGTTCAACCGTGTTCTGATTTGGGGCCTTGTCGAGTGAATCTGTGTCCGTGAATACTAAGCAATAGGAATAGCTGGGTTAAAACCGTAAGAGCGAGAGAAATATAACAATGGAGACGGGGATGGGATAGGAAAAGGAAAATAAACTCAAGATGTCCCTATCAGATGACCAGCTTAACCGAATACTACAACAACAGCAAGCACAATTAGATGCACAAATGCAGTTGTTAGAGACTCTGACTCAACAGCTTAACATCCACTGCCCGAGTTCACATGCTACTTCAAGTACGTCTTGTGATGCAGTTGCTAGCAGCATACCAGAATTCATCTATGATCTCGAAAGCCGAAATATTCTTCTCACGTGGTTCAAACGTTGATAAGATACATTTAGAATAGAATTCTGTAACCAAGACGACGCGTGGAAGACTCGATTGTTGGTACGTAGGTTGGGAATTAATGAACATGCACTCTATGCTGATCATATATTGCCAAAGTCACCTCGAGAGCTCAGTTCCCAAGAGACGATATTGCAATTGTCAGAGATATTCGGTAATTCCTCCTCATTGTTTAGCATTCGACATCAGTGTCTAAATTTGGTGAAACGCGAAGCCGATGAATATGGTGGTTTAGCAGACATCGTCAACAGAGAATGCAAACGGTTCAAGTTACGCTCGTTGACAGAAGACCAATTTAAATGTCGCAGTTCTTTCTTGGCACTAAGAGACAGATGGAACTCCAAATATCGAAGTGATAGGTGTGCTCAGGCAAGGCTAGCATCAAAAATTCAGGCTAACCCCGAATATTTCCACAGAATCATGACGAGATGAAAACCCACAGAACAGGGTATCTGTACCCGTAAAGGGTCAAATGGCAAAGAGATGCCAGAGATCTTCGTCCCCAACTTCGTGGACCAACTAAACCGGGAGCCTGCAAACGTCAGACACCTCCCAACTCTGGTGCCAGCTGAGGGCCTGTGTGATATCCAACAAACTCCCGGTTTAGTAGTAGTGAAACCGAAATCCCTGAGCCTAGGAAAGTCACCAGAATGTGATAATGTCCGACCAATAATCTTGAAGCAGTGTGTAGAAGCCATCAGAATACTCACTATATTCACACCAACTCCCAAGAGGATGGAAGCAGACCACTCTGGCTCAAATATTCAAAGGGGAGGGATAGAAAAGTTTCGGCCTGTTATATGTCAGTAATATTAATCTGAATACCATCGAAGGTAATAAAGGTACTGGCCAATGAACAAACGAGGGAATACATGAATAGAAACAACATCCTCCACGAACCTCAACACAGATTAAAAAGACAGGTCGTGTAAGTTAAGTCCGCTCATAGAACAAGAAAGCTGGGCGGCCAACTGTTCACGTGATATTCTTGGATTTCAAAAAAGCATTTGACACAGTACCTCATGAACTTCCTATAGCATAGGTTACTGAGATGAGTTCCACTGACCTTCTTCTGTCATTGCTTCAAAACAACCTAGAAAGCAAAATTTTCCGTACCAAGGCGAGTTAAAAAGTCCTACCTCTAGGGCATTCACGAGGAACAGTCCTAGGTCCTCTCTTGTTCTTGATCTACATTAACGACCTGATGGATAAGATTACCTTAGCAGCTCTAATCTACGCAGATGATGCAAAGATCTAGAGATCCACGAAGGGCCAAAATGATCCACTTGAGATTAGAAAGGACCCTACGATAGAGTACTGGGCAGTGAAGAGTGAGTTGAAACTTAACCTGTTGAAATATCATGCCATGAACATTCTTCCTCACTTGACACAAAGCACTTACATCCTCTTTTGAACGTGCTATCGGGCTTGTAAGGACGGGGAATTAAAACACGGGCTTAGACTACAAAGTGGTATGTCTCTTGGATTAAGTACGGAGACAGGCAACCAAGTAGATGCTAAGCCAAAAAGAAGAACTTACAATATATTAAGTACACCGAGCCTCCCTAACATGAGCATGTTGCCGGAACATGATCAACACGCTCCCCAAGGCAAATCTCAAGGGGTTAAACATCAAAGAATAGAGACCCAGAAACTCTCCTACGTTTTTCATCAAGAGTTTCTCCTATTTGAAGTGCTCCCAGCCGGAGTGAGCACAGCTCTGTCAGTGGATAGCTTTAAGAGGAGACTTGACAAAGAATTACTTGTAGAATTGTGGTCTACTATGATATTAGTACAGACTTAATCCTAAAATTGGAGACTTTTTATGATGTATCTATCTAATCTATGAGATCTTACGTGGAAGTCACATTATTATTCAACTCATTGCGTCATAACAATCATCAATGTATGATGGAAAACACATTCATACTGGAGATAGAACAATAAATTTAATGTGAATAGAAGGTATATAACAACATTCAAGGATAGCCACCCCTGCAACGCCGAGCAATATCATCCTATCAGTTCGAATTAACTTAATTCCTTTTTCTTGTTTCTCTCTCGTTGGGTTTTTCTCCGCGTTACATATCAAAGATTTATTTTCCCAGCTGTCCCGTGTTCGGCTTTGAGGATTGTGTGATTAGGGCCCAGTGCCACTATATACTCACTTACGCGTCGCCATCTTCCTCTTGGACCAGCTGTATCTGATGCATGTCTCGTACATTACCAGTTATCACCACCGCGTGTTAGTAATTACTTCCTATCTCTCTTATTATCACCTCCATCTCCGCCCTTATCCTTTCGATTCTATCTTCCTCCATGTTTCCAGTTAAGCTAATAAATTATTTGTTACTAAAATATGCTCATTCACTTAGAACACGAATGTTATGGTCAAGAAATTGAATTAGTTGTAGTGTATTGAATTTCCGAATGTGTAGTGAATGTCTTCCTCCAAAATAAACTTAGACTCGAGTCAAACAGTTGTAAAATACTTATGGTGGGTGACTTTAATGCATACTCTATAAATCGGAAAACCTTAGATAGAGGGTAATCGAAAACATCGTTTTCTAACCAATCGTAAGAAACTATAGTCTCCCTAGCTTTATTCCGGAACATTAGAGATCCCATCTGATATGAAATACAAAAAGCCTCCTTTATCTTACATTACGTTCCTTTGACCTATAGGAAGAAGTGGTCATACAGTAATCTAATTGAAGTTCATGGGTGAGATGGCTTGTCAAATTTTTGCTCCTGCCCGTCTTAACACATAGAAGGCAGACAGAGTGGTGATAAACTCTGCAATCTCGGCTGAGAACTGGAACACTGACTCTGTCGCATCGACAGAAGGGGAGTGAACTTAGTTGCAACAGCTATACAATCAAATATACCCTAGACAGTTCCAAAGAAAGAAAGACATAGCTATCCGTGGATGGACTGGGATATTCGACGTTTACTAAGACAAGAGAAACTTTTGAAACAACACCATCAGACTTGGCATAACAAGTACAATGAAACGCTACATGTCGGTCTGAAATAAGTGTATAATTACAATCCAGGAAGACCAGAGAAAATATGAAATGCAGTTAACCAAGTCTTTAATCAAGAATCCTTAGACTTCTCGTAAATGAATTACAGAACAAGGACGCGGCATTGGATTACCAGCCTAATAACTGAAGGGTGTGGATCTAAAACGACAGATGACCAAGAAACAGAGGAGATTATGGCAAACTATTTCGAGGTAGTTTTCACTCAGGTGCCTCTTCAAGACTAAGAACCAGACCCAAATACAAAGTCAACAAACCATCTGCTCCCCGTGAACTTTGATCGGTACGATGTACTTAATGTACTTAAGACACGGAAAAGTCAAAAGGATGGATGAAGTACATCCCAAAATCCTGAGACAAATTGCACAATATATTCAGTATGCAGCTTATCCAAGGTGTGTTACCTACGGACTAGAAGGGTGCTATTGTCACCCCGATACATAGAACAGGACAAAGACAACTTCCATCAAACTACAAACCTGTCATCTTCACCAGTGTCATAGTTAAAATACTGAGAAGAATGATCAAAATTACCATAACGACATTCTTGGAAATCAACAACTTGTTAAACAGTGACCAACTTGGTTTCAGAAAAGGTTTTTCATGCACACCAAACCTCGTTATAACAAAGGAGCAATGGATAGAGGCTCTAGATGACGGAGAATCAGCGGATGTTGTCTACACAGACTTCAGCAAGGCGTTTGGTTAGGTGACAATAAGTAGTCTGCTTTCGAAGCTGGAAAATCTAGGCATTGTCAGACCTCTCCCAAGATGGATTGAGGATTTCCTGGTAGGTCGTAGACATAAGGTAAGAGTAAATTTTAAGTGCTCTATCTGGATACCAGTACTTAGTGGAACATCACAGTGCTCTGTCTTAGGTCCTCTATTTTTTACACTGTGTAGTTGAGTCCCCGATGCTACTATAGTCTGATGATGTAAAACATCTGGCGAGAAATAACAGGAGACTCAGACGAATGGGTATTTCAGGCAGACTTAGATATTCTGATTAGCTGATCTAAAGAGTAGCTGATGTCTACGAACGCACTCAAGTGTGTTTACTTGCAATTTGAGGATAAAAAGGTAAATGGGTACAATATAGGAGAAATCATGTACCTGTGGTTCGGTTTCATAAGGACTTTAGGGTAACAGTGAGTCATGATCTTGAGACCACGGCCCACTGCCAGGAGGTTGCAGCTGAGGGGTTTAGAACCCTATGGGCTTTAGGACAGACATCCACCAAGTTAGATAGTACCATGTTCACTACAGTATACAAGACCTTAGTGACAATTAAACTTGAAAACTGCGTTCAGGCTTCAAGCCCCTGTTTAAAAGATGACTCAGATATCCTGGAGAAAGTACAGATGGCAGCTAGTGTGCAATTCCGGAATTCTGGAGTTGAACATACAAAGGGTGGCTTGAAAAGCTAGACCTCTTTACTCTGTCCTGTCGCAGATTAAGAGGTGATCTGATTTTGATGTATAGAATATTAAGAAATGATTTTGAACCTAATATATCCTCTCTTTTTCTTTCCACTAAATCGGAACATCTCAGAGAACGTAGTAGGTGAGTAGAAAAGCCAAGAACGAACAAAATACCGGTAGCATACAGGTTTTGACACCGCGTCAACAATTCTTGGAACCTGTCACCCGAGCAATACTCCCGACATTTCAACCGACCCACATCAACTATACTGGTGACGGCTCTATCTGCCACTGCACAGGACTCTCCGTAGTGAAACTGAGCGCTGACTTGGTGCTCCGAAAACTACAACACCCAAGGACAGATACTTCTCCTGATCCAGATATGGTCTACTCTGCTATACTGAGGGAAGAAGTTTCAATCCTGGCAACACCGCTTAGCGTGATGTTCTCACACTCGCTAAGTCGAGGCAAGCTACCGGATATTTGGAAGCTGGCTCATATCACACCAATCTTCAAAGGAGGTCGATGCAGCTAATCTTCAAGCTACCGACCGGTGGCTCTTCTCTCTATACTTTCAAAGATCATGGAGTCCCTGGTATACGATGGTATACACGACTATCTGCTGTCCTTAAATTTTTTCTCACCCCAATAGCATGGTTTCAGGAAGAGTTACTCCTGTATGACGAACCTGATGACTGCGGTTGACAGATGGAAAAGCATCGTTGATCACAGAGGGAAGGTGGATATCATTTACCTTGATTTCTCTAAAGCTTTTGATAGGGTTAACCACACATGTCTTATTAACAAGCTCAAACAATTGGGTATCAAACCACCTTTAATTGACTGGCTCAGTTCATATCTGACAAATCGACATTTTAAGGTCAGGGTAAACTTCAATTTCTCACACGCTATAAAATGTCCTATTGGGGTCCCCCAGGACTCAGTACTAAGACCTCTCCTCTTCCTGATTTATATAAATGATCTTTCTCAACAGGTAACGTCAGACATACTGCTCTTTGCCGATGACGTGAAACTTTGGAGAGAGATACGCAATCGAGAGGATATACAGGCACTTCAGGGGGATCTGACTCGACTTCAAAGCTGGGAAGACGACAGCGGACTTACCTTTAACACTTCAAAGTGTAAAGTAGTCCATCTGCGACACGTCGCAGATTGCAGTTACAACTTAGGAAACTCCTCTCTAGCAGTATCCCGAGTCGAAAAAGATTTAGGAGTTCTGGTGCCCTATGATTTAAAGTCCTACGCTAACTGTGACAAAAATGCCTGTCGAGCAAACCTTACACTGGTAACGTTGAAGCGCATTTTTGGTCAGTTTGACGGGAGAACTTTCCACATCATCTTCAATAGTTTCATTCGTCCCTATTTATAGTACGGAAACATAGTATTCCCTCCTACACTCCAAAAAGATAAGGACACTATGGAGCGTATCCAACGGTGAGCCGCGAAATCAGTTCGGGGACTCAAATTTAAACCTTACGATGAGCGCCTCCAATCACTCGACCTCTACCCATTAGAGTATAGGCGTCTTAGAGGTGACCTTTTAATGGCTTACAGTAACTTTAACACTCCTGGTCATCCTCTTAAACACCTACTTAAGCTTAGTCCCAACACTAACCTAAGGGGTAACACCCAGAAATTAGAGATACAACATAGTAGAACGGACTGTAGGCACAACTTCTACTCCTTAAGAGTTGTCAAATGCTGGAATTCGCTGCCAGCTCAGCTAGTCCAAGCAACTTACCAGGAGTCCTTTAAGAGGCGACTTGATCTATTCTTAAGGACTAAGGATAGTATTTTACTATGATTTAACAACTCCTTTTTTCTCTTTTATCGTTAATATACCTAGGTTCTTGCCTGAAGGTATTGGTGATCCCCTGCTACTAGACACGGAAGCCTGTTAAGCGAAAGCTTCTTCTATTCCGCCCACAACCATTTGAAACATTTGAAGCAGTGGTGTCCACACCTTCAATTGACTTATTCAAAAGAAGAGTAAGAACTCACTGAAGTATACTAGAAAAAGAATAACATTGGCCGTAGGCGCTTTAACCTTCTGTCTTCACTACATAAATCTGAATCTGAAAATTGGTGACCTTCACGATTACGAAATACTCTAATTGTGTGCGGTTTATAGACCTTACTCCGTAACTTTGTTAACAGATTATCTGGTGACAAGAAGCGAGTTATGGACCAGAACGCTTTGCGGAGTATATTCAGAAGGTAAACAGTAGTATGATATATGTTGAAATACCTTCAGAATTGACAAGAATGGAAGTGGAACTATAACTGCTGACGAATTGCAATCTTGTCTATCGAACGGTGAGTTGATTTAATTGTCGTTATTTAAATGGCGTTGTTTTCAGAGTAAAACTTACGTTAGTTCTATGTTGTAGTTTGCTTGTTGCCAACAGTTAATTGTTATTCTGATAAACTTTCTGACGTCTCATCAGAATGTCCCCTTGATTCCCCCTTTTTCTTTTGCTTGGGTATAATTACATATTTATCCGTCATAGATCTAGTCGAAATCAGATTTGTTTATATATCTTTGTATTTGTTATCCGATCTATGTCTTCCTGTCTTATACACTGCTAAATCGGTCATTTAGCTTGAATTCAATGATAAAAATAGGTCAACTATTGTTTCTTGTTTTGTGCTTACTTATTTCACGTACTTATTGCGTATTCTGGTCACATCCCAAGGTGATCCTGAAGGCGAATTTATTTCCGTTCATTTGCTGGTACACTGACAAGATATATGTCTTGGAGATTAAAATTTGAAGTGGTTCACTTGGTTCTCTCTGTCTACAAAAATTAGTCTTCATACAGAGAACTTCACCACTAGGTTCCGTCTATAAAAAAACTAAACCCAATTAGTGTATTTTAATAATTAACTCCGACACAGACCTATCGCGTTTTGCTAGTGGAGCTATATTAATGAGATGTTTCTCTACTAATGTAGTGTGGCAACCTAAACATATACACACAGGTTCTGCATTACGTTTTGATTAATTTATTGATGTCATCCAACTAAGCTGGGGGGGGGGTTCCCTACTAAATTGAATAATTTGATAATTTACACTATGCTCATGAGAATACTTTTGCTCTTTAAGATCATGATTAATCTCTTACAGCTGTTTCATACAGCTATATTTCTCGTGAAATATGTAGCCAGTAATCATGTATTCTAAATGTTTGTGGTCAAGATTTAATCCCATCTAACTGGTCTCACAGAATGAATGTATTATTATTATTATTTAAACACAAACATTGGTACAAGAAGGCACTGAATAGATATCCGCCACATAAACGACTCGATTAGTGTGAGGACTGAGATACTGCCCGAGTGCCGAAACCGAACCACGTGGTTTTCTTAGGTGGACATACCCCGAGCCTTTGACCCAAAGGTCTAATCCACAAGGTAGTGCTGAACGTCAGGTGATGCAGTCTCATGGTAGCCGGTGACCAACGATTGGTTCATACGTCATTTGTTCCCTTAGGACTCTGGATCCCACGTGCACCATTGGTTTAGAATTAGAGTTTTCCAACTCCCCTAGGTGGACTCTCCGTGGTTGTATGCACGTGTCCATGTGAGAGCATTTGGAGAGGTAGAGCTGATTTTCCCCACTTTCAGCCGTACCAGGGCATTTGGGTGCCCTATATATATATTTGGTGCCCCCCTGTACCAATATTTATGTGTTCAAATAAAATAAATAATAAATTTGGGTGCCATAGAATGAGTGAAGGGATATTGGAATTAAGATTGAAGAAAAGATAAACAGTGCATGCACCTACTCCATCGCGAATGATTTTGAGCCATGTCCCCTGAATTCTCTAAAAATTGGTTGTTATTATAGCGCGGACATCTACCAGTTAGTCTTCACTTACGTACAAGGTTTGAGATGTGTTTCTCCTTCTTTAAGTGCAAAATGTTCCTTCGGAACTGTTACGTGTCAACACCTGATAGGCATTAAAGTAGTTGAGCGAATCGACCACTTTACCTAGAAGTCTCATAAGTCCTGGGATGTTGGTGATTGACATAATATCGGCGCGGATATAGGAAACTGTTGGATCTTGCCAAATTGCATCACTTATCGAGTAGGCGAGTTATTCGCCTGTCAGCTAGTTAAATAATATACTGTGCAGGAGTTAGCCCCGTTTTTGTGGCTATGAAACGTGGCCTTTTAAAAAATTGGAAATATTCGTTGATCACTAATATTAGATTATATGTGTCTTCAAAGCATTGCTCTTGTAGATTTAGACCATTGAGTTGGGAATTCTGAAGTTAGACTCTGTATACTAGATAATAATAGCGAATCGGCTAATGACTGGTTAGCCCCCAAATGCCCTGGTACGGCCGAGAGTGGGTAGAGTCCGCTCACCCTTTCGAAATGCTCTCACATGGCCACGCGTATATAGCCTCTACCAGGGAAGTCCTACTCACTGCCTTCTCGTGGCGGGGGTGTTGTTTACAAAAATGAGAGGACGAAAAGCGAATGTCCGGCGCTTTAACCGGATCCCAAACCAATGGTGCACATGGGCTCCAGTATCCTGCGGGAACAAATGGCGTATGAACCAATCGTTGGTCACTGGCTACCATGGGACTATATCTCCTCACGATGCTCCACTGCCTTGTGGGTCAGACGTTCAGGTCAAAGGCTCGGGGTGTGGCCCCCTAAGAAAGCCACCTGCTTCGGTTTGGGCACCCGGGCAGTACCACAGCCCTCACCCATATCAAATGAGATTTGTGTGGCGCATATGTATTTAGTACCTCCTTGTACCAATACCTATGTGTCAAAATAAATAAATAAAATGACTGGTTAGGGATATGTAACATTTCTCCAAATACCACCTATACCTACGACGATGTTTACTGGTGTAAGTGTAGGTTGGAGTAAACCTGGGGGTGGCCAAACCAAGACATGGCAGCAGTCCATGAAAACGTTGTCTATTGGACTGAGCCATGTAGGTAAGTAGAGACTAACTGGTAGATGTCCGCGCTATAATAACAATCAATGTTTAGAGAATTTGGGGGACATGGCTCAAAATCATTCGCGATGGAGTAGGTGCATGCACTGTTTATCTTTTCTTCAATTCATTGTGTTCTGTCCAGTCTTATCGAATCATATTTTTAATATCCAGTTTTAATGCTGCTATGTTTGGTTTTTACCTCATTCTGTTAGCTTAATCTTGTCGTGCTAATGTTGTGTGGTACTTTCAACCACTGGGTTACAGGTTAGAAACCTTCATAAAACTGAATAAAATAGGATGGCGGTAGAAAATACCAGAATGATCAGATTCAGACCTTACTCTAATCGGAACGATCATTTTATATACTTCGGTAAATGTCGACTTCCTAATTAGGGTTAGAGAGATGGTAGTAGTCAATTAAAGGAAACATTTTCTGTCATTTCTCAAAACTAATACAACATGTGGAATGTTTACTGTTTTTAAATTATCTTATTATTAATACTCCTCTGATTACTTTACTGCCTCACTGTTTCAACCATTTAGTTAGAAATATGAGAAAAAGTATTGCTTAGTTTCACAATACAAATACTTCTCAATATCAACCGTTATTTATGCTCTTCCAAAGAATATGATTAGTTTTTTGGAACTTTTCTTTTGCAATAAAGGTTTAGGAACGACGTTCAACATAAGAACAGTACAGTTAATGATTACAATGTTTGATTGTGATATGAATGGAACAATTAGTTTCGATGAATTTGGTAAACTTTTTAAGTATGTAAATGATTGGCAAAATTGTTTCCGACAATTTGATCGAGATAACTCCGGTTCAATTGACCGTCAAGAACTCAGTACTGCTCTGATGAGGTTTGGTTATAACCTATCGCCACAATTTATAAATTTTATGGTTAGTCGATTTGGTCATAATCGTCGGGAATCTATTTCATTCGATGATTTTATTTATGCATGTGTCTGTTTACAAGTGAGTGTTATCGATGTTTTAATTATTATTGTTTGTTCATTTTAAAGAAAGTCTACTATTGTTTTATCAAATATTTACGAGTTCGCTGATGTAGGAGAAAACTGGCATTTATAGAAATACAGGTTCATGAAACCGAAACATCTTCAGAAGACAGCATCGACGATCTCCGTAAACGTACTTCCAAAAGTGACCTCTAGGAGTTTCTCGGAAATACAATACAATATCTAAGAAGCAAAATAAATCAACCGTTTATCAAATATTTCCAGCAATAATTTGTCACTTAAAAATGTATGTACTTTTAAATTTAGCACCCTAGTCTTTTACTCAGTGAATAAGACAGTTTAATAACCAATCTATTCAAAAGTAACTGATGTATGTTAGTAAGAGTAAAGTGTGATCGATCACGGAGCGCGGACAAACAGGCACTTAGCCTACTGACTATTAAATATGTAATTTCTTTTCCTCTCATCGATTTCCACTCCGAGTTCGCTGAGAGTGACTGCTTGTAACTGCGTTGGATAAAGTGTTATATAGTATTAATCTTTTTCTCTATTCTGGGCTGTAAATCCTGTATCTGATATGACGTGATTGAGTCTCTGTATTGTTTACCGTTCAAGTATCCAATCTAGCGGTATTGTAAACGCGATCACTCAGAAGATTTGTTGGGGTATTCAAAAAATACCCCAGAAATTATCTAATGCTATTTCTGAATGAGAAATAGTGTCATTCCCCCATTGGTCAACATTCTTCCAATGTGTCATTTCCCTATTGGTCAATAGTTATTTGTGTCATTTCCTGAAGGTTAAATCTTGTACAAATGTTATTTTCTATTTTATGGTACGTTGTGGTCTGTTCGATTGATATTTAAACAGAGTATGTTTGAAATATAATGATTCATATCACTGAGGCCGAGACTTGTGTTCTGCACTCAACTGGCTGGGCTAGACAGAGAAGCAGGGCCGATCAGAACTCTGGGCTGCTCGCTCGCATTTTATGCGTCAGTGTTTCGATCGATAATAGGCGGATCACACGTTATAACAAGATTAGTCTCATTATTGTGTTAACGTATTATTTTAGTATATCAGAGAGAGAGAGGAAAATATTTTGAACCACCCGCTATATCAGTAACTAATTTAACATGACTCTGGGTAACCTAATTAGTTAGATACTACTCAACTGAAAAGGATATTTTACCAGTTGTTTCATTCTTCCCCTGTATTAATCATGTCCTTCTACTTGACTCGATGCAAATGCGAACAAGAATAAGCTAGAATCGAAGTTTTTTACAAGAGAAACAAGAACCGAATGTATTTGGGTAAACACAAAAGTCGACATAAAAATTACAGGAGAAAATTCTACCACTTACTTGATTCGTTCATCAGTGTCTATTGATTGAAACTGGACAGATAAATTAATATATTCGATTTAGTCTTTCGTAGATTGGTCAACCCAGATATGTAAATACTACTTAAGTGACCTAAAACATATCAGGGGGACTGCGAAGTACCTAATTTCCAGTTGTTTAACAAGAAACCTATCGGCGAATCAGGAATTCGTTAGTTTATTTACCTGGATAATTAGTACTGAGGGGTCCCACAATAGGACGAAACGGCCATTTAGTGCTTCCAGGTTTTCTATGGTGGTCTAGCTTCAATTGACTCATGATTTCAACTATTGAAATTACTGTAATATCCACAAAAACCCCTTCTGATATTAATTAGTACTGTGTTTGAAACTTTTATTTTAGATTCTCACTGGTGCATTCAGGCGATATGACTATAGAATGATTGGTCAGGCTCAGTTTTCATTTGAACAATTTCTTACAGCAGCATTTTCAGTTGTTATATAAACTTTAAGTTCAGAAGGACCAGACTTACATTTTTCTATAACTACTGACTCTGGATTTTGTAACTTCCCTACCTAATTTTTTCAAAAAGTGTTTTGTTAGCCTGTGTAATTTGTAATTTTGCACCATTTGTGGATATATTAAACTTACTCTGATTATATGCTTTGTTCATTTTTTTTACATTGTACCTTCTAATCTAAAGTTGCTTTATTTTGTTCGTATTGGCATTTTCTCTTTTGTATTACAAACCCTGAAGAAAAAAATCCACCACAATAATATAAGTACATTCATAAATATATACAATACATTATTCATAATGCACTTTTTTTATTGGTGTCTTTTTCTAAATTCTAAACAGTATTCAAAGAGTGCCCCTAAATAAATAGTATCATTTTGTTATATTCAGTTTTGATTATTGATAATAGTTCTCATTTAACACTTATGAAATCACTATTCTTACAAAACTTTAATTCAATTGTATTTTATTTATTTATTTTAAAACATAGATATTGGTACAAGGAGGCACCAAATACATATGCGCCACGCAGATCTCATTTGATATGGGTGAGGGCTGTGGTACTGCCTGGGTGCCCAAACCGAAGCAGGTGGTTTCTTAGGGGGCCACACCCCGAGCCTTCGACCTGAACGTCTGACCCACAAGGTAGTGGAGCATCGTGAGGGGATTTATTTATTTATTTATTTATGGCTTTATTCAATATTATATTTTGGTACAATATAGAATTCTCAGCACAAAAATATTTCAACAAGTTTCTTTTACAGAACAAAAGAAAAAAAAACGGTTTAAAAAAAAATCTGAAAAAAAACTGTACAACTTTTCAATTGGAGTCATGTTAAGAATGCCGTCCCATGGTAGCCAGTGACCAACGATTGGTTCATACGCCATTTGTTCCCGCAGGATACTGGAGCCCATGTGCACCAATGATTTGGGATCCGGTTAAAGCGCCGGAAATTCGCTTTTCGTCCTCTCATTTTCGTAAACATCCCCGCCACGAGAAGGCAGTGAGTAGGACTTCCCTGGTAGAGGCTATATACGCGTGGCCATGTGAGAGCATTTCGAAAGGGTGAGCGGACTCTACCCACTCTCGGCCGTACCAAGGCATTTGGGGGCAATTCGCTTGACCACTAGGCACTGGTGTTCCTTCTAGTTCAACACTTTTCGTAATTGATACCTATCCTTTCTCACATATTATCCTTTAAATGCTTTTTGTGTGTTTTGCGAATTGGTGCCCCCAAATGCCCTGGTACGGTTGAGAGTGGGGAGTCCGTTCTCCCTCTCCAAGTGCTCTTACATAGCCACGCATATATAACTTCTGCCAGGGAAGTCCTACTCACTGAATTCTCGCACCACATGTGTAGTTTACGAAATTTAGAGGACGAAAAGCAAATGTCCAATGCTTTGACCAGGGTTGGTGGACACGGAGAGTCCACCTAGGGGAGTTGGAAAACTCTAATTCTAAACCAATGGTGCACGTGGGATCCAGAGTCCTAAGGGAACAAATGACGTATGAACCAATCGTTGGTCACCGGCTACCATGAGACTGCATCACCTGACGTTCAGCACTACCTTGTGGATTAGACCTTTGGGTCGAAGGCTCGGGATGTGGCTACCTGCTTCGGTTTGGGCACCCGAGCAGTATCCCAGCCCAACACACAAATCAAATGAGCTTTGTGTAGCGCATATGTATCTGGTGCCTTTTAGTATCAGTATTTATGTGTTCAAATAAATAAATATATAATGAATTGGTGCACAGAAGAGATAAGACAAAAATAACACAGTATCTAATCAAGTTTACAGTTTATACTTCATTTGTTCTTTGATAGCACGTACCGTTTATGTCTGTTGACTAATGAGCATGTAACTGAAATGAATGTCCATAAATAAAAGCTGATCTCAAATGAAGCAATATCAGACGGCTTAAACCTACTAGATTCCACTTATATGAAGAAAGCTGTCCCATGTTTACAGAAATTCAACCGATGTAGTTTAGTTAAACTTTATCAGGAAGCAAGTAGTCCATGAAAAATGACGGTGAAGGTCTTCTTTCCCTTATTTAAAGTTATTTCAACTGTATTAAGACTAGCGTTTAGTATTTGAATATAACGGGCAGAAAAGTCCCCAACTAATAAAGAAGACTCATCAGGTTATGACGAAAACAAGTTATGTTGAGGGTTGAATTTAGATTACTTCGTAAGGTAACTGAAAAGCATACTGTAGAACTCTTCCTAATCATCTCACTTCTACCAAATGTACATGAGGGGCTCATTTCATTTTTTGGCGATTGGCCTTTTACCAATGCGTGACTTACGAAAATCAACACCTACGAATTGTAAAAAAATAAGATTAATTAAAAGACATGAATTTATGTCTTGCAAAGTTAGATGTTAAGTGTTCAGTTGAACAGAAACTGTTAAGATAAGGATGGATAGTAGCTAGCAGTGGAATCCAGGATGCGGAAGATTCAAGTAAAACAATACCAAGTGAGCAAGAACAAAGGTTGGTGCAGAATAATATGAATTCATTTTATTTCGTTAGGTTCTCATCAGCTGCTTACAACCTAAAATATTTGAAATTCAACGTTCTTACAGATATTGACATACATCAGAGGGTGATGAAGGATGAATATAAGTAACATGATGTAGCAAAGATGCCGTTAGAGTTAATGAGGTCATAAAAATTTTTGTTTCGAATATATAGAGTTTGGGAGGGAAGGTTCCATAACATAGAAATAGTGATTAGAACTCATGGAATTAAAACACATTAGATGATTATGTAATGAAGTAACTGAAAATAGATTAATGGTAATAAAGAGAGATATGAATTGAAATTGGTCAGTTTTGAATGATGTAATTCTAATGTTCAGAAAGGGTCGGAATGACGTAATAAATAAAGGGCAAAGAAATCTTACTTTGCCCTGGTAACCTAACGAAATAAAATGAATTCATATTATTCTGCACCAACATTTGTTCTTGCTCTCTTTAAAATAATAAAGGGAACTATGTGTATGAAATACCAAGTGAATTGAACTTCACCCCATTACACAAGCAAGTGGCTATCAGGACTCAGTAGCTAAGTGGATAACGCGATAGCGTCTGAAGCGAACGGTACTGGGCTCGAGTCCCAGAGTGAACATCCAGCTGACGATTCTCAAGTAGGACGAAACGCGCGTCCTGGATTCCACTACTAGCCATCTTTGCTTATAATGCTTGTGAATTAAGGCAATATGCACATATGCCAATAATAGACTGATCAATTTCAGTCCTAAACATCAGTGGGAAGATTCAAGTAAAACATTACCAAGTGAATGTTAAGATAACTTTTTAAATAAGCAAAAGTTTTTCTATTTGAAGTAAAGTTTGTCAGCAGTATATTGGGTTTGAGCTTCATATACTCTACAAGGAATTCTATCATTGATAAATTCACTTAACTAACTTTTACACTTGCCAGAAATTTTTATCATGTACTAACATCAACTAGAGAATTATCAAAAACCAGATAGACCTGAATAGTTGATTTATTGTAGCTTGGGAAATACAGACCATTGGACTTCAACTCATTTTGCTGTTAACCTTCAAATTAAAATATACTGGATTCAATCCTGTATGCAGTGGCATCTACACATTGATGTGAAGTCTCAAATTGCAATAATTCATTTGTTCAACTTTCTCCAGCCAATGTCAGTCTGTGGCGAAAATGGTTTACAATTTGACCAAATCATGATTAAATTGTGGTGCTTAGTTAACAAAGTTTAGGGAAACGATTTCTAGGAGTGAAGTACGAAAGGTGACATTAACTGTCAATCGCTCAATAGTTGAATTGTGAATATCTTTTTCTTCAGTGCTTGATAAAGAATAGAATAATTGGCCTGTTTTTTTTGTCAGGGAGTGAAAGGTTGTCGTTTAAATAAACAGAAAAACTAGATGATTGGTCATAAGCATCAAAAAATTTCTGGCAGCGATTTTCAAAAAAGACCGGCTCTTTTTTCTATTCTCCGGAATTATCTGGATCGATATTGAGTTTCTTTACCAAGTGTACTTTGAAAAATCCATAAGCAATGTAAAGACACTACACGTTAAGGTTACATCACTTTTTAAGCTATATATATATATATATCACTTAACCCGTTTGCTTAATGAATAATAAGTCAGATACAATATCTTAACAGTCTTTAACTCGCCCATTTATTATAATTACACAAATCTTGATAAACCACTTTATTGAACAATTTTTAAACGTATTCTTTAAAATTCTATTTAAATGAACTGATTGAGTAAAGTTTATGCAGCATCTTAACTTATACAGTGAAGTCCTTCAAATGAAATAAGATTATCATGATTATGGGGTAGTTGGAACTTGGATCCATTACTTGTGATTTACATTTGAAATACTCCTTGAATTTTATATCGTTTGTATCAATCGATTTCTCCAATTCAGTAATAACTTCCAGTTTGTGTGGGATGTGTTTATTATTATAACCGCCAACACGTTGAGACAAAATTGGTTACTGTTATCTTATGACTAATAAAATTGTTTATTTTTATGAAACAAGAGCCAAGTCAATAAATATTTTAAGGAAATATGAATCGTTTTTTACTTAGTATTATGACCTCGTGTCAATGACTACGTCTCCAGTATGTGACCAAGAAGGTAAAATATAATCGAAAGTGGTCTGTTAGAAATTCAGATCATGTCCTTTTATTTATTTAAACACATAAACATTGGTACAAGAAGGCACCAAATAGATAGGCACCACATAAACCATACGATTTTTGTGAGGGCTGGGATATGCCTGTGTGCCCAAATCGGGGGGGGGCACACCTCAAGTCTTCGACCTAGAGGTCTAATCTACAAGGTAGTGGAGCAACGTCAGGAGATGCAGTCCCATGGTAGCCGGTAACCAACAATTAGTTCACACGCCATTGGTTCCTTCGGGGTACTGGAGCCCACGTGCACCACTGGGTTGAAATCAGGGTTTTCCAACTCCCCTAGGTGAATCCCGGTTAAAGCGCCGGTCATTCGATTTTCATCCTCTCAATTTCGTAAAGAGCAGTAATGCCACGAGAAGGCAGTGAGTAGAACTTGTGTGGCAGTGGTTGTCTGCCCGTGGCGATATGAGAGCATTTGGAGAGGGAGAGTTGACTCTCCCCACTCTAGACCGTACCAAGGCGTTTGGAGGCAATGTCTCTGTTATGTATAGTTTGATATTTACAAATTGTAGTACTTTCTAGCGCGGTGTTCCATGTGTCAAATCACAGGGATTATGAATTAGAATGATTAAAGTAATTATAATCATTCATCTGGACTTTTATTATTCTGATTGGTATACTTGACAGTACATGCTATCTGACCAAATTAGGTTACTTTGATCAATAGTGCAT